TCCACTAAGAATATGCTACAATATTTTTATATTTATAGTTTTAGAGAGAGACTTTTTATTGTGATTTAAGTGAAAGTTCATATGCAACCTCTCATCCATAATTTCTTTTATGGCATTAATTACAGTCTTTGTATTAGGTTATGAGTCTTTCTACTTCCTCCCTTTGACTCGATTCATCCTTTCATCTTCTCCCTATGTTTTGTGCCATTTAACTCAGAATGGTTCCAACCCTGGAAAAGCTTTAGTATAAGACCAAAGACTAATAAGCTTCAGAGTGAAACCTGAATATTCCCTACCTATTTTTTTTTAAGATTGATGTAATTTGTCTCAAGGTTCATTAAAAAAAAGGTAGTCCAACAGTGTGGAAATTATTAAATAGTATCATTGATATCACAGGCAAGTAAAATCTTGCTAAAGATTATCAAATAGTTGGAATCTTGACATAGAACTTTCAGAAATTCAGACTTGAATTTGAAGAGTCTGTGGCATGAAAGATCATTGCTATGTTAGATGGATCTTGACTGAAAACAGAATATGTTATTGTCTTATTGACTATGCAACAGTCAACTGTGGATCATAACAAATCATGGCTAAGAAAAATTTAACTCCTCTTTCCGTGCCTATGGCTCTTGGTCCCAGGAAGTATCTAAAGCATGTAGCAGCTCCAAAGCATTGGATGCTGGACAAAGTGACTGGTGTACTTGCTCCTCATCCATCTATTGATTCCACAAACTGAATGTTTGCCCCTGATAATTTTCTTAAGTATGGCCTGAGTGGAGATGAGGTTTAAAAGTTCGAACTGCTGCTTTTATGGAAGTGATCAGCATTGACAAAACTGGAGGATTTCTGTCTAATCCATAACACCAAAGGTCGATTTGCTGTTCACCACATTATACCTGAAGAGGCAAAGTACAAGTTGTGCAAACTAAGATTTTTGTGGGCACAAAAAGAACCCCTCATTTGGTGACCCATGATGCTCAAACCATCCAGATCCTCTAATCAGGATGAATGATTTCATCAAGATTGACACTGGTGCTGACTGGAGGTTCTAACCTGGGATAATTGGTGTGATCACTAAAAGACATCCTGGCTCTTTTGATGTAGTTTATGTGACATGCCAGTGGCAACAGCTTTGCCATCCAGCTTTCCAACATTTCTTGTTATTGGCAAAGGAAACCATGGGTTTATTTTCTGCCTCACCCTTACTGAAGAGAGAGACCAGAGTCTGTAAAATAGAGCAGTGGGTGAAATGATCTGTAGGTGAGTTGAATGAAGAGGACAAAAAGATATTACAGCTTGGGAGGTGTTAGATAGAAAAAGAGTAGAGGATGAGAGGGCAAGGAGGAAACTGGTCCCAAGAAATAAACAGGCCTTTAATGCATGACTGACCACACATGGAGAGAGTCAAAATGGCACAGTGGCAGCCTCTTTTTTTAGGGGTTTTAGGGAAGACAGAGCCTTAACAGGATCCATTGTCCAATCTGGTTTTTATCTGGCTGCTTTAGATATTACCAGTTTATTAAGGAATAATCAGGCCTGGGGCAACTGTCACATTATTCCTTCACTCTAGACCCTAAAGGAGTATAGTGGATAGGGGCAGAGTCATCTTTGGATACTTCCTGCTGATCTGGGGCTATGTTGGGGAGCTGGTGTTTGTTTCCAGTAAGGTCTGAAGGAGAAGCATCATTTTCACATGTTCTTGGGCTTGTGATATGGCAGTGACGTGGCTTATTAAAAATTTCGGAAAGATATTTATAAAATGGAGCAAGAGTAATAAACAAGAATGACTAGAAAGGGAATTAGGATGGGGAGTAATCAAAGAGGAATTCCTGGTTGCCACTAGGTTACTGCAATGAGATAGACAGTATTGCTGCCCAGCCCCAGGGTGTCCAGGCTTGAGGACTGTCTATTTTCCAGTGACCCCATTGCCCACACATAGGGCAAGGTTTGGAAAGAGGCTGCAGGTTAGGGCAAACTTTAACACAACGTCCAGGATTGCCACACCGAAAGCATTCTCCCGGGAGTGTTATTTAGCCACAGCTGGCAAGTGCTGTTTTGCCAAACCATAGGGATTGAGTCTGGTGTTGGATTGGTTTTGGGGCTATGAATAGCTGAAGCTGGAAATTGGTATTTGGCCTTCATGTGTTTCTCCTT